AAATAATAATATGCATAACATATTTCTTTCTAGTCATTCAATTAAAATCATTTCATGAATTCAAACTTAAATGATACATAAAATCATGCTTGAAAATAAAATAAAACGTAACAGTTCTTCCATACCTTGAGTTCATTGGACGGTAGTAGATTGAGGAGCGTTAAATGCTACGGGTCTTAATTTTTTTAAAATAAAATTAAAAACTGAGACAATTTCTTGAAGGAAAAGACAAAGAAATGATGTTCATTTTGTCACAGTCTCAGAATTCATTACAATCCCAAGAACCAAGAAATAAAGTACTTAATTATTAATAATCCCTCATTCATATCATTTTTATAAGCTTAACAGATTTACGTTTCTGATCTTGGGTGCAATTGGAGGGACAGATTTAAATAACCATTCAGTATTCGTACAGTGGACGCAATGCAAAGAACGCCTATTAATGGAGGTATGAGTTATAATGTAACCTAACTGACCTACCCTACAATTTAAAATATGTGTAGTCCCGCAAATCATATTCTCCTTTGACTCTTGTACTCTTCCATTAATCTCCGAAAAAAAAAAGAGATCAAATATCTGCCAAGAGTTTAAAAAAAAAAAAAAGAGGGGGTTTTGCGTGCAATCTAGATAGATTTATGTAACACTCCGAGTTTTTAATTTTATTCCACGTGGGCTAAATTTAATGTTGGTAATTTAGCAAATAAAATAATTCATGTCCAACATTGTCGTCACACTAAAGTCAAAAAGTTGAAGTGATAAACACGTCCCACTTATTTGCATAAACGGTTTATTTTGCATACGTATACTTTTTAATTTATCATAACTTATTTGGGTCGAATATTTAAATATTTCAAAAGTTGACAAAAATATATCGATACTATACTCGTTTTGTAGCTAGTGTCAAATAACATAAATTGGCCCAAGAAGAAATAATTTTTGACTAGTCATATGCGAGTTATCTTGATCTGAAGAAAGATATTCTAAATCCTATATTTTATTAATATATATATATATATATATATATAATACTAATAATTATATAAAATAAAATAATCATTGGAGACTTGCGTTTCTGAGAACTTGAAACATAACCAAACCAAAACTATTCATTTAAGTTAATACGTGTAACCTCTCATTCTGGGAATTTGAAATATCAAACCATTCATTTAATTTAATACTTGTAACCTCGTTCCAATGTAACGTCCTATCATTGAAACAGATTGATTGAAAATTTATCATTCATTGAATTGGTTGGAGCGTTTTGAATTTTACAATCACAAAATTATACAGGTATATATATATAAACTATGTGAAGAGCTTTTCTTTATCCACATACATTGCACACGTCTACACACACACTCTTGAAAAGAAATAACATTTTATTTCACAAGTCAATTTTAGAAATTTTTGGTATCATTTGAGGTAAAAAAAAAAAGTGCAAGTGATTTAATTCTTATTCCCTTGGTATTTTATAATTTTTGGTATCATTTGAGGTAAAAAAAAGTGCAAGTGAATTACGTTAAGGCCTTCGGGTCGATTTTTATGTTAAATCCTACGGGATGGACCGTTTGGTCGAGTGTGTAAATCCTACAGGATATAGGGATTCTTATGAAATTCCTTGAGCTATTGGATGTCGCGATCAGTTTGTTCTAAATCTAAGAAATGTTGGTATGCCATGTCATTTTTGTAAATATATTATTGTGATAAGAATATGCACGTTTCTTTTTCTTACTGGGTATTTTTTTTAAAATACTCACCCTTACTAAATTTTTAGATTAGAATGGGTTGTGTGGACGTGTGGCAGATTGCTCGAGTGATGTTCATGGGGTCGTCAAGTAAAATTTCTAGAAATAATAATTTACAAAGAAATCTCATTTGAAGAACATATTCATGTTTTTGTGTTATAGGATTATTTGCCAATTTCTATTTCAAGAATAATTTTTATTTTATGTTTAATTCCGTGCATGTTTATTAGTAGATTTGATATTTAAGTTATTTAACATGTTAAATTGACAATTTAGTTCGTAGAGTTTTAAGCTAGATAAATCTTCAAATTTTTATTTTGAATTGTCGAATTCACCTTATTGATTTATTACCAAAATTTATACATTAATGTTAAATTTCGCTTAAACTATAAAAGAAGGATTTTGGTAACACTTCAAATCTTTTTTTAAAGAAATTAAATAAATAAATGAGTAAAATGTGTAGTGGATTTGGGGCGTTACAATTTCGACCATGAATTTCTCAAACTCTTCAAAACTGTAAGTCTCTGCAACTCTTCTAAACGACGCAACGATGCCCTTGCCTCGATACCTGGTCTTCAGGCTTCCCTGTATATGGTACATACAATAACCGTGATATGCCTCAAGGAAGACTTCGACGATACCATTTATTATTGACTGCCCTCGATCGGTTATGAATGCAAGGTTTTCGACATACCCAATTACTTCCCTTGACTTCGTGAAAAACCAACTCATTGCTAGATCATTTTCTCCGTCGACTATGCTGAACACAAGAGGGTAAATTTGGATGTTGACATCTTGATATGTTGTAATAATCAACTTGCCCCTGTATCTCGCCTTAAGGGTTGTGCCGTCGACTAGGATTAGGGGTCGTATTGCGTTTCGAAATCCTCGAACGCATTGTCCAAGGGCCATAAAAAAATACTTGAAATGATTATCGTCAGCCTTCTCAATAAAAAATGTCGATTCATTATTAATTTTTTCCATGTTATAGCAATATCTGGCCAATGTAAATAAATAATAATAATAATTTAGATAATCTATTCAATATGAAATGAACAGAAAATTAATTACATATTAAATAAACAATTGAATTACATAGTTACATAAACAATTGAAATAAAATAATTAACAATTAAAATAACAAAGAAATAAACACCTAAACAATGAAATACCTGTCCAATTTAGCATAACTCTCCTCGGTCGAACCCATCAAGTCTTCCAATACACATTTTTTGGCCTTCCAAGCTTTCTGATAGCTCATGACCAACCCGTACTCTCGTCGAACGTCATTAATAATGTCCGAAAGTCTGTAAATCGTTCGTGGGTTCTGAAACTTGTGCATTATTTCTCGACCAATGAACCATAATCAGGCTTGCCTATAATCATTTCGACGAATACGCACTTCGCAAGTATGTTCCCATGCATACTTATGAACTAAAAAGAACTTATTCGTGTCCATCTTCGTCGCTCACAAACGTCAATGGCAACTATCATTGACGCAGATAATTGTGTAGTTGACTTGTTTAATTTCTTCACTTTAAACTCGAAGTTATGCCTTAAAGCAATTCGGTACACAATTTCTTACAATTCTTTCTTTGACTCGAACAGTTGCTCGACATACACATCTTCATCATCGGGAATCACATGTGGACAATTAGAGGACCGTGTACTCGGTCCGGCCTGTAAGTTCCCACCCGACTCATGTCTCCTACGGGATAAAGCAATCAAATCCTCATTTGTAAATGCGCTTTCATTCTCGTTGTCTTCAATTATGGATAGAATTCTGTGCGTAACAGTGTGATCATGGTGAGTAGTTATGGTCTCGGGAATAAACACATCATTTTCACAAACAATCTGAATTGTATTCCAAACATCATTTACATTACGATTCTCTTCATCGGAAACTTCGTGTTCACCCTCGAGAACATTCTTCCTCAATAAAATTACGCAAATAAGAGTTGACTTTCGGCCTTGATTCAATTTAATTAGATGTTTCATCTCCACTTCAGAAGTAACTTTTATAGGTGGAATTAGAATGGTTGAATGCTTATGAAACAAAAATCTCAATTCCATATCGTACTGAAAGAGATCGACGCTAAGCATGTTTTGTATATCATGGTACATTTCTGTAAACGATGTACTCCTTGTTATAAAATTGCTTTAACCCCATCTCTTTCACTCGTCCATTTCCATTCCCACTGAACATTTTCATTATTTTGAAATTCACCGAAATAACAAATTGGGACACATGCTAATGCCATATCTGCCACAAATTAAAAATATTAGATAATAGATTAAACATAAGGAATTAATATATAATTTTTTAAATTGTTCATTTCATATTTAATTTAATTTTATACTTATAATAATTCATTGATTATTTTAATTATTTCAAAAATATTTATTTCAATTAATATTAAATATTCATTAATATTTACAATAAACAATATACATTAAATATGAACAAATAAATTATAAAATTTTAAACATTAAAAAAATAAATAAATAACAAAAAAATAAAAAAAAGGGTGGGGGCCCGTACGTCCAGCCGGCCCAAAAATTTGGGCCGACTGGAAAAGGCCGGCCTGGACGTTGGGTTGACTGAATTTTTTTTCCAATGAAATACTATGAATTTTTTTTTGAAATAACATGCATACATATGAATTTCTTTATTCGTTTTTGCTAAAAAATTAATAAATATATGTTTAATACTGTAATAATTCATCTGCATTTGTCGAAATAAGATTTAAATATTCAAACAGTATACTACTTTAACTAAAACGAAATTAAAAATACGTATTTACACTAACCAATTTTGAATGCCGACTGTTAGTAATGTTTTTTTGTTGAACCTTTGATAATTTAATGAGATTTCAGTGTTCTAGCAGATGGAAGAGGAAATTTCTTTTTAACTGTATTGAAAAAATTGATAAGCAAAATTGATTTTGAAATTTACGTGGGGAAGTGTTTGAATTTATTTAAACTTTTAAGGGTATTATTGTTTTTCAAAGAATTAACATGTTTTTGTAATTATGAAATAAAATAATGACACAATTATCTTTTTCAACACGAGGCCAATGTGGTTGGAAAAAAAAAAAAAATGGTCAAAGTGAAAAACTTGATCTTTGACTCAGCCCATTTGAAAAGTACCCCCTTATACCATGGTGAGGAGATAAAAAGGATTTGTTTTCTTCAAATAGCTATCCAAATAGAGTGAAAAAATTTGCATTTAAAAATTTCTTTAGATTAAACATCTGAAAAAAGTATGCAGACTTTCAAGGAAACAAATATTGAACTTGGTCAAGTTGCAATCATGTACGTCCATTGATGCAAATATAAACAACATGATTCCATCTACCCTTGTCTTGTACAAAGTAGAAAATTCCCGCACATAAAACTCGAACCTTTCTTGGACTAGCACAGAATGCGATACAAAGGCAACTCCTCTAAACAAAAAAGTGACCAGAGATGAGCGATAATTATTGTGTAACTCCCATTTTCCATTCACACAAATTTGATAGTGCAGAGATTTTCTTAAATAGAAGGCGTTCGTCCACATTTTTACAAGAACCGGTTCACTTCCTGATTGACAGGAATTCGAAGCTTCGAAGAGGGTCATTACGAGTCCCTTTGGTCACTGCACCACGAGAGAAAGATGATGGTTTGGGTTCAATCCCAATTCTTTTTGTGGTAGACAAACGGCCACTGCTCGATACCAATCTGCTTGACCGGCCATCAGTGGGTTCACCAGACGAGCTTGGTCTGCTTAAAATGGCAGCTCTTTTCGAAGAGCTGCCATTTCGTGATGTTCTACCTCTTTCTGAATCTGGTTGCTACATACAAGGAACAATAAAGATGTATAAGTAAAATAACACGAGAACAACATAGTTCTCCAATAGCTTGCACGAAGGTCCGAATGCTAAAAAAGAAAATCAAATGTCAAGCACAAAGTACTAGCATAACAGACGACATGATTATATTGATTTATTTCCTATCCCACAAGAACCAAAGGAAGCTCCTGGGAACTTGTAACACAAACATTTCCCAATCCTAAATTCTAGGAGTCTGATGAAAACAAGAAGAGATATCTTATATCTTATCTTCCAGGTAGAGAAGCAGGTGGGGGGGGGGGGGGGGGGGGGGGGGGGGGGGGGAGAGAGAGAGAGAAGTACAATTAGAGCAACGCCTAGTTTCTAATGGGAAGGGGTAAGAACAAATACCACATCCTTTGATGAAGGTACATCTTCTGATGTCCTATGCCTGTGACCTGAACCTGACGTATGTCTTCTGGAAAAAGCCTCAACAGCACCTGAGAATCTATCTCGAATATCTTGCCCCACTGAGAACAATGAAATCAAAAGAGTCATGTAACGAGTCATATTGGAATTTCCAAGGGAAATGGAATGTGTTAATTCAATTAAGGCATCATTGCAATCAGCTCAGTTATTGGAATTCTGCAAAAGCAGACAAAAGCAGTATTACAATGGGGTGAAAGTCCATATGCACTATAGTCATGCATTATCATTTTTCAAATCAAAAGGTAAACTCCTAAGTTCCAAGTGGTGTTTTTACCTGATGTTCTCCCCATTCTTTCACCAGAAGGTCCAGCATTTAACCCTGCATTCCCACTCAGATTCTGGAAGCAAAGCCATGAATTAGGAAATCTTATATCAAGGAAGATGAAGCAAACAGATAATTACTCAAGCACTTACTCGTGCTCTAGAACTGGCACCAATCTGAGGATACTTCAATATAGTCCAGTCAAAAACATAGTCAAATTGATAACCTGTGCCAGTATCCAAGTCAAGATGCAAACCATGGGGGATTTGAACAATTAAAGACAAAATGTACTAGCGAACCAAGAGCACAAAATTTTGATAAAAAAATTCTCTGAAAACCACAAGACTCGAGGATAAAAAATACGGTCATATGCAGTAATTAATGATTTTGATAATGGTTATAAATCAGCTATAAATTAAATGTTTCCAGTACTACCATTTATTTTTTTCTCCGCATTCATAATAATATAAGTATATGACGCATGAACAAGAGTTAAATTTTTTCCAAATCCTTCTTGGACCAATATTCTACAATTATATAGTGGCATATTTTGAAGCAAATCTCAACAATAATCCCGTCTACCAAGTGAAATTACAACTTTTCGTCCTCACCATGACAAGACACGAAACGTAATTTCACTGTTTCCTTTCTTACATATTTTTTTGCCTTCGTGTTTGTACTTCTTCCTTATATAAAGACAAGAAGGAACACCATTGTATATAAGGATAATGAGAAAAAAATGAAAAGCAACAAGAATGACATGAATTCAAATTTGTTGATGATTCTCTCAAAAATTTTATTAGTAGTAATCATAAGAAAGACTTTTAGCCTTTTTAAGTACTAATAGTAGATTACAATTTGTCAGATTATTCCTAATTTGAAGGTTTACTATTTCCTACTATATACATCTATTCTACGCTTGTTTGCAAGTTTGACTTCCAATTTTGTTAGAATGTTCTATTGCAGATTTTCGCATTAGTTTTATGGTTTTAGTACATAAGCCTTTATATATTTTATTAATCTATCCCACTGGTTTGTGTTGAGATTTGTGCCTTGTCTCAAAGAGTATGCCTCGGTCCAAATTGAACATCCATTGGTTCCTCAAAAGATGCAAAAGATGGAAAGGAGAACAGAGCAACTTCTGGAAAAGATTAAAAAATTCTGTAGAGATTATGTAAAAGCTCAAAGTAAGCTCAAAGTACCAAAAGGCAACTGCAACACAGTGGTCCAGTGGTGGAGCCAGCACCTGGCGAGCCATAGAGGCGCCACCCGTGCTGGTTCTACCAATT